TTCTCCTCTATCCATCTTCTATCCGCCTCCCCCTCTCTCCCTATTTATTTCAGAATCCCCTTCCCCTCCCCCATTTCTGAAGAAGGGTCTAGGCCCGAAACGTCAGCCTTCCTGCTCCTCTGATGCTGCTTGGCCTGCTGTGTTCATCCAGCTCTACACCTTGTTACCTCAGTATACCTGGTGTATTGTGATTGAAGTAGATGGCTGTAAAATTCAGAAGGTTTATAATGGGTGATTAATTCAATATCACTCATCAACCTTTTCAGAAAATGTTGATGCATTTGTTTTTGTTATCTTTCTATTTGGCAAAGCATCTTGGTGGTTTCTGTGAAATCACATTGATGCCACTTGGCGATTCCTGAGAATTGGCATGGAGCAAGGGTGATAGCAAAGAAAGAACAAAGGGAAAGTAGGAAAATTGTGGAAGGGAAATACAAAGGAAACTACTATGTTCTGCCTTTTTTTCCCCTCTTCCATTCTATCTCCTCATTTAAATCATTTGATACAGATTATAAATAGCTGAGATCCATGCACAACCCTTGTGGCAGTCCATTTATAAATTATACCCAGTTCTGAAGGTGGCTTGTTTATTCCTACTGTCAGTGAACTGATCCTTAATCCCAATACATTTGTTTTCCAGTCCCATGAGCACAAATTGTGTGCAGCAACCTTTGTGGGATATCTTAAAGAAAGCTTTCTGAAAATCCAAATGCGTTCACTGGTTTCCCCCCTTATGCCTCAAAAATCTCAAGTAGATATATCAGACTTAAAGTCTGCATTGAATATGACCAATCAAGGCAGCATGGTGGCTCAGTGGTTAGTACTACTGCCTCTCAGCACCAGGGACCTGGGTTCGAATTCTGCATGGAGTTTGCACATTCTCCCTGTGTCTGCATGGGTTTCCTCCAGGTGCTCAGGTTTCCTCCCACAGTCTAAAGAAGTGCATGTTAGGTGGATTGGCCATGCTAAATTGCCCGCAGTGTTTAGGGATTAGCCATAGGAAATGCAGGGTTACAGGGATGGGGTGGGTCTAGGTGGGATGCTCTTCAGAGAGTTGGTGTTGGCTCGATGAGCCAAATGGCCTGCTTCCACATTATGGGGATTCTATGATTCTATAAAGTTGTGATTTTTCTTTTTCAACTGTTGTCATCAGCTGCTTAACAGTAGTTTTTTTTTTGGTTTTGATTTGATTTATTATTGTCACATACATCTAGGTACAGTGAAAAGTTTTTGTTTTGCGTGTACTGCAGACAGGTCATATAATGCAAAGTGTGTCAGGTAATAGAATAAAGCGAAGAATACAATATTACAGCTGCAGAGAAGGCGCAAAAAGAGCACATCAACGTTAAACTTAAAATTCTAATATATGTTCCCTGATTTCTCGTGGCTTCCTTGCTTGAACAGTGAAATTGTATTTGCTCCTTTACTTTTACCTTTCCCTACATGCAAGAATGGTCCCTAAAAATTGTAATGTCTCTATTATTGCTGCAGACTCTTTTGTTTTAGACCCATGGAGTGCAGACCTCAGGAAATGTATATTTCAGGATTATGAATGTTTGAGATTGTGTATTTCTTGCCGTACAATCAAGCTCAACCAACCTGCTGTTCTATTTCTGTAATTTTACCTTAAATTTGGAACCTCCATTTTAGACTTACATTAATTCTAAAAGCAATATCGTTATGGTTTAGTATTATTTCACTCTCTTTCAAAGATTCCTTTGCCATAAGACTGAGTTCACCCTGTCTCATTACATACAAGATCTAAAATAATTTATTTCTGTTAATCTTGTTTTTGCCCTTCTATTCACCTTTTGGGATCTGCCGTCATGTGATGAGTAAATATCAATGAGCACAAGAGAATTTTGGAGATGGTTTTGAAAATGAACACACAGAAATGAAAGGCAAACGTATGTTTTGCTTTCTCTATGGTTGCCAAGATGGGCTTTCCCTTCAATGAGGAAATATTGTCTTTTGCCACCCCTAACTCCATCCCCTGGCTGTACACATATTCAGATTTTAGCAGGGATAACTAAATAGTGAACAAATGTGATTCCTTGTTGATTATTTGCTTTAGTCCCTTGTGTTTTTAGTTTGGAATTATTTCAGACCATTTTGCAATTTTCAACCAAATCTCAGACACTAATTTCTTTATTACTTCCCAACAGACTTTGATGGGCAGCCTGGCAAACCAAACAAAATGAATGACAGAGAAGAGAATATGGAGTGGAAACCACAGCAGCAGGCTTCACTAAGTGAGTGAAAAGAATCAAAAGTGTATAATTGCAACTAAAAGAAAAATGTTCAATGTTTAACTTGGTTGGGATGTGTGAAAGTGAAGGAACTTGGAAAAATTCCACAAAATTCACGTTATTTAGCATTCATCTTTTTGAGTTTTCTACAATTTAGTGCCCAGTTTGCTTTGCAATTTTTAAAACTTCTTTCTAAGCAATCCTATTTCCTTTGGTGAGCCCCATATAAAAGAGGACTGTAAGAATGGTCCTGTCGTTTATATTCTTTTCTTGGTGAAATTTTTAATGTGTAGGTAATAGTCACAACTATCAGTTCCAGTAGCACACGTACTGAGTAACTGTGTAGTCTATTGATTCTGCAAGTAGAGCAGAAACATTGCTTTTCATTAAGAGTATTTTACTGAAACTTATATTGTTCAACCACAAAATGATGGAATTGTATTTCGTAGCTGTAATTTACACTAATAGTTTTTTAAATAGATACTCTTGGCATCAACCTATTATTGAAAGGTATTGAGCTTTGCCTTTCTCTTTAAACTGATGAAGACTTGCCTTTATACACTACTTTGTTTTGCAGAGAAATATTTCCTGTATGATTGATTTTTGAAGTATATTTGAGTGTGGCAATATCTCATAAGCAGCACCGATCCATATAATAAATCCTGGACACAGTGGGCAGTTTTCTTTTTTGTTGCATAATTTCTGAGCCAGACTGACAGCATGCAAGTCTGTTCATAGCTGGGTCATACGAAAAAAGAATGTCCAAAATTCAGTCTCCCCTCTGTATTTAGTAAGTTTATTTCAAAACCTGGTGGTAAGCAGGGTTTTAGTTCGATCTCCTCTAAGTTTGTCTTTGCAGGCAGCTGGAGTGAGCCCAAACAGGTTTTCTGCTTCACACTGCTCCTGATCACTTCTTTGTGTCTTGTTGGGAGTATGGATGTCTGTGGACCTCTGATCAGGGCCAGTATTGGGGCTTATTCTTTTTATGATATTGGTTTCATGTGAGTGCTGCACAATGCAGCTGCACTTAGGAATTTATTTACTGCTCATTCTTGAAATTAAGAATAATGCCATGTACAATTGTGCTGTAACCTTTGGGAATTAAAAATGAACAACCTGCACAATACAATGCATGTTCACTGAGCACAGAGCAAAATTGATTATTGAGTTTTTGGAAGAGTCTGCTGGACTGTCAGTCATCCTAGACAAAGAATGCAGTTTAAAGGTGAGATCTCAAAGGGAACATAATTTAGGTATGCTTCAAAAATTAATTAGATTGATCAATTGCTGTTTAGACTGAAAGTAATGGATAAGATGTTTTTTAAAGCAGCAAGTTGCTTCTAAACAGTATGCTTCGACATATTCAAGGATTATTTCAAAAATATCTTAATGTAGGTATGGATATAAAATATCTTTGCTGCATCTTGACTATTTCAAAGAAAACGAGCAGCATGGATCACATCAATGTAATATTGTCAGTTTTTGGTTATTCTTTCCTTTGAAAAATTTGCTAAAATAAAGCAGTAACTGTGTTGTGAAGAACAATTTTGAATTTTGTCAGTTTCAGGTCAGGATTTTTGGTGATATTATTCTGCAGCACAGTATTTTGATCTGAAAGAACTTAACCACAGTATGACGATGGATAGTTAACCCTCTGAGTACTGAGTATCCTTTGTCACTGTCACTTTCTAAACACCCTTGCTCCAAAACTGTATGCTTCTACAACTAACAAATTTTCATTAGAAACAATCCTTGAAGCATAGAACATTTCTGAATAAAGAACTAATAATATGTTTTTATACTTGGTGCAGAAATGCTGGTATATTCCTAATAGATCAGACATATCTATTCTTGAGAAATGAACATCTGCAGCAGGGGTAGATTTGCTCCAGTGATCACTAATTCTCAACTAGGAGCACATCACTATTTACAGAGAAATTAAGGTCCTCTCTGCAGACTTTTTATGGTTTCTTTAGTAATAAAGAATGAATGAGCAATGTCTGACATTTTAGGAAAAGGTTCAATTTTAATAATTATCATTTTTTGCACTGAGTTATTTTATGATTTGCATATTAGAATTAAGGATGAGTTTGTCTGAGGCATAGCACTAAACTAAGGAGGGTTTTAACTAAATTGATGCAATTTGGTTATCTGGTTCCTATATTCATAGTTACTGTGACAATAAAATCATCATTGGAGAAAGATAAGATGTGGTTCAGCATAAAACTCATCATCCTACCACAAAGGAAGGGAACGAACTTGAATAGATCTGAGTAGAGTGGAAGGGAGAGTAAAACCATGAGAAAGTATGTCATATAATGTGCATAAAAACAAAGTGTAATGATATGATCTTTACAACAGATGATGGAATGAAGCTTATTAGGAGAAATTTTGAGATATAATGTAAACTAAGTGAGATAGCCCAAAGTAAATCCAGTCTGAAATAGAAGCTAGACAAACTAGGTGAGGTTTACCTGGTAGTAATGTGCTTAGACAAAAGGTCTAAATCCTCTCTTTCCCAATCTTATTTGATCTTTCCACTGTGGAGGAATCTGCAGTTTTAAATTTGTGTACTACATTAGTGACAGTATTTGAATTAGAGGATGTGCTTCCAAACTTAGTACACTGTTTTTGCTGCACTGTGCAGCATCCCGCTCACTTGAGAAGACTGAACATTGATTTAAGTAATCGTTTGCCAAATGCTTCCCATTTGACTTGCATGTGTAATCCTGAGCTGTCAGCTCCTTGTCACTTGAATTCTCCGCCTTGCTGCCATTTTGACCTACTGCACTGTTCTCCGCAAGCTCAAGGAATAACTCTTTAACCCTCAATTTTCATAATTTCAAACATTTTCCATATGATATAGCTAGTTGCCTAACATAAATTTTGTAGGATGGGTGTGTCGAGGGTGATGAAAGACTGGTGCTTGAATTCCATTCTTTTTTTGAGTTGTTCAATCCTGCTATTTTGACAGCTGTCCCTCCGTCTTGTCCATTTTTCCTCCCCTCTAATTCCTCCTATTGCTGTAGCTGGTCAATATGCTGTTTGGCTCTGCTCTAATTCCTTTTATTGCACTTCATGTCATTATCTGTTGTGAGAATTATCTCAGGCATCTAAATGTCCGACAGTTAATCCACCTATGTTTCTGTTCTTTGTTACCTTTTGTTCACTTCAGCGTTTATTTTGTTTTTGCTACTGCTTTATACTGCAGTGAAGACCTGTTTCTTTCTTGGTATTAGACGCCAGTTTTTCTAATGCATTTTAGTGAAGTTAGAAAGGGCTTTTAAAACTCTAATGACAGTGCCATGCATAAATAATTTCATATCTTTAAAAAATTGAAACAGTTGAGGTTGAAAAAGAAACCGTCTCCCCAATCCTTGTTGCACAAAACAGCATTTGCCAGTGAATTACAGTGCTCATTTCTACTGATGTTGGCGTGCATCTTTACTGCAGCATTGTGCTGTATCTGCAGCTGTAATGCATATTTCATTTTTCTCCTCCTATCTTTGGTACTGTTGAATTTGTTTATATTGGAAAAGAAAAAATTGTGCTCAGAGCTCTAGTAAGAGCCAGTGGTATGTTGCTTAAGATTAACATAAGGTACTTCATGAAATTAGTGGCTGGTATTTTTCAAAATAAATGAAACTCTTGTTACTTGGCCATTTTTATTAAGAAAATTTTCAAAAAATCATATCTTGCTGCACCTGAATAGTGAACAGCCACTGCATATAGTCTGACTCCTTCTTTGTTTCAGGGGCCTATATATGTGGTGCCTGTGGGAAGAAGTACAAGTACTACAGCTGTTTCCGGGCACATGTGAGAGCACACCTAGGTACATGTTTAATTTTTTTTTAAGCATTTATTGGTTTAACCCTTTGAGTAGTGACATTTTTCCTTACAACTTTCTAAATGTGCGCATACAGTACTTTGTCATCTAACATCTCAAGCTTTGGCATTCAAATCCTAAATGCTATAAAGTAGAATTAGATGAATCTATGGAACCTGACAGCATTTCTTCTTTTGCACTGTTTATTAAATAAAATTAAAATGTTATAAGCCTATTGCACATTTTGAAGCAAAACTGCTCCTCTAGTACTCAAAGGGTTAACTACGATAATAGTGTAGTTTTGATATCCATCAGCCAGACTGTGTCAACATGGCATGCTGCAAGACATTTATTGTTCAGTTGTAAACGTGCTGTATTTAAGTAGCTGTTATTCAGTACGTGCATTATCTTTCGCACGTTTGTGAATATTGTTTGATGTAATGAATTATTGAGTATATTACTTAAGGACAGATGGAATTCTGGACTTTCAAATATTTCCTTTTCTAAAATTTCCTTTTCACAGAAAATGAAACTTCCTCTGCATCTGCTGAGAGCTCCCCACAAGCAAGTAAGTACTCCAAGTATCACATCATCTTTGCTTATGGACCAAAGGGTCTGTTTCTGTGCTATATAACTCCATGTTGATTTGTCTCTACCATTTAAATATGAATAACTGACAGTGTGGGGGGGGTGGAGGAAATTGTCATGTCAGCTGCAGTAGTGTGTAAGGCCTTAGGCTTAAGGACAAGGAGCATTTTAAAAAGTAGGCATTTATGGGTGAATGCGGGAAGAAATTCTGCTTTGAACTTCCTGTTTATTTTAAAATAGGACTCGATCAACCAGATATTAACATAAATCCAATGAGCTTTGACGAGTTTCAGAAAAGTGGAAGACAGCACAAAGGACAAACCATTTCAGCAAATAATAGGACTGAAGGCAACGAAAAGCCATGTATTTTTCAAAAGAAATACGTACACAAAGCTGCAACATGTGCACAGTCATTCAACCAAAACGGTTTGTGTTGGCTTTACTCTCCACACAAACAAATAGCTCTAGTTATATTTGCCAACTCTGCTGTTATATCCTTTAAACAGCTTTCTCTCAATCCATCTATCCGATTCAATTACTAATGTAGTTTCAAATTCAACCACTGAGCCTGGACATGAAGGTCTCTGCCTCTGTGGAAATTTCTAATTTTAATCTTGTCTGGCCTTGTATCTTAGAGCCTTCAATTACTGAAAATAGTTTGCTTCTGACTACTATCTAATCTTTTAGTTTCAAACACCTTTACGTCATGCTGATTTGGATGTGAAATAGGGGATATGTTTGCAGATGATACCAAAATAAGTGGTGCAATGGACAGCAAAGAACGTTACCTCAGAGTACAACGGGACCTTGATCAGATTGGCCAATGGGCCGAGAAGTGGCAGATGGAGTTTATTTAAGATAAATGTGAAGTGCTACATTTTGGTAAAGCACATCAGGGCAGAACTTGTATACTTAATGGTAAGGTCCTGGGGAGAGTTGCTGAACAAAGAGGCTTTGGGGTACAGGTTCATAGCTCATTGAAAGTGGAGTTGCAGGTAGACAGGGTAGTGAAGAAGGTGTTTGGTACACTTTACTGATCAGTGCATTGAGTATAGAGAGTTGGGAGGTCATATTGCAGCTGTACAGGACATTGGTTAGGCTACTTTTGGAATACTGCGTTCAGCTTCGGTCTCCTTGCTATAGGAGACATGTCGTGAAAAGGTTCAGAAAAGATATACAAGGATTTTGCCAGGGTTGGAGGATGTGAGGTGTAGGGAGAGGCTGAGTAAAATCTTGAGGGGGCATGGATAGGCTGAAATAGCCAAAGTCTTTTTTTCTCCCCAGAGTAGGGGAGTGCAAAACTACAGGGCATAGGTTTAAAGTGAGGTGGAAAAGATTTAGAAGGGAGCTAAGGGACCCACTTTTTCATGCAGAGGGTGGTGCGTGTATGCAATGAGCTGCCAGAGGTAGTGGTGGAGGAGGATGGTACAGTTATAACATTTAAAAGGCACCTGGATGGGTACATAAATAGGAAAGTTTAAGAGGGATATGAGCCAAATGCTGGTAAATGGGACTAGATTAATTTAGGATATCTAGTCGGCATGGATAAGTTGGACCAAAGAGTCAGTTTCCATGCTGTGCATCTCTATGACTCTATGTTCTTTTAGTTTGCACTGTTCAAATGATTTAGTCCTAATTTTCAAAAGTTTAATTTTGTACTTGTATTTCCTCTTAGGAGTCAGTATTCTGGTGAAAGTGCATTGTGTCCTCCTATGTTTTTCTTACCATGTGAATCCCATTGCTGCATTTGGAGCCTGTTATGACTTCATATATCTAGCCCTTGTGATGAAAGTCTTGAACTCGTATTACCTTTTTTAAACAACCTTATTAACCCTATGTGCTGCAATTATTATCTAGTGGACCTTTATCTGCAAAGCATCAAGTTTATCTTTATTACTGTTTTTCCAAAATATAGCACTTTTCCCTTATACATCTGAAATGCATTTTAAACTCCTTCACCCGTTTGCCCCCTCCAGTTAGCTGCTTATTCCTTTTCTAAAGAATGAATGAATTATGCCTTCTATTACTGTCATCTACAAATTTGTACATACAATTTGTTGATAGCCACAGTAAACAGAACTGAATCCTGTGGGATGCTGTTTTCCACTTCATCCACAATGGAAAACATGCTTTCAACTCCAGAATCTGTTCACTCCCTTTTTAGCCAATTTTTTAACATCATTTACTATGTACAGAAGTCACTTCGCATAACGCAAGACTTGAAAATGGAAGGCATATTAAAGTAAATCGGCAGTAAAATTAAATGACGAACTTGGCCAAATGAAAACTTTGAGTGCTTTAAAATTTGAAAGCCAAAAATAATTCTTTTTGCCCAGCCTGGTTTTCTTAGCTGTGGTTTGGCTGATTTGTCTTCACTTAAAGATTTCTGCTTTTCTTTGCACTTGCTCGATCTCCTGTGGACTGGTCAGAACCAAATGTCTTCTCCTGGTGAGGGTGCTTCAAATGGTCCAGCTACTTAGACCACAACGTATCAAAGTGATTCCTTTCTCAGTTACTACACTCGCCCATTTAAATGGTGACGCAGTAATAGGATACAAGATTTACATACAACAGACAAACTTAAACTAACTGATTTCATTATTAACACCAACACAAAGTTAACATGCTAAACATTGGCTGTGAGTGTAATGAGAGCTTAGATTTTTTTTGATATCACGCACATTTTATTTTTACCCCTTTGAAATCTGAAGGAATTTGCTATGACTTCTGTTCAGTTCAGTATGACACAATAAATTCAAGTGAACAGATAGGCACAGATGATCTTTTGTTTTAGAAAGGTCCATGCCAAATTTGTATTCAAGCACCTTTTGTTTTTTGAAAATGTACAGTGGTTATACCTTTACTTAACAGCTGGAGCAAAAGAAACAAATTAAGATCGTGTCTTGAAATGATTTAGAGGTCAGTGCTCAAAATAGATGGAGGTAGTAGGTTAATTCTCCTCTGAAAGCCTCCAAATCATCCAGGAAAATTCACTTGCTGGCGATCAGTCAGAGTTAAGTGGCTCCTGCATGTAGAATGGACAGAGTCTGTGAGAAGCGGCTCCTCTAATCCTGGCTTGTTACCCTCCTGTGCTTGCTGCTGCCATTGTTGGTGACCTTCTCAGTAGGCAAAAGTGAGCGGGAAACAGGACATGGTTAGAGAACAAATGAGCAGGGTTAGGAAGAAGGAAAGTAAGGAAGGCAAGAAAGTAAGTGAACGGACCTGCAGGGGTTGTAGGATGATAAGGATGGAGGGCCTGTTTTTGGTGTTAGAGCCTTTGCTGATTTTTCTCTTTTTTTTTTAATTTTAAATTTTTATAAATTGCAGTTCGGAGTGGGGAACTGGCAACTGTGAGCTAAAGCTGACTTTTGGATTCTGAGTAACACCTTGTGTTGAACAGGAAACAAACCAAACAGCTTTTAGTCATCTGTGAGGCCAGGCCTGCAAGTTAATTGCAGGTTGATTCCTGACCAAAAGGTTGTCAGACACTTTATCACCAGGGAAAAGCATTATTTTATAAACAGCCGAAGTTGGCTTTTAACAAGGTCACTTCATGGAAATAAGTTCCAGCAGGTCTGGAAAAGGCCTTATGCTCAAGCAGATGGCAGATGTTAATGGTAACTGGGACCTCGTGAAGGAGGCAGTCAGTCTGTCATGGAGTGGCCAGAGTTTCAATTGCGTTTTGGTCTGTGTTTTCTGGGGAAATTGATTCTGGCTATTAATGCCACAGCATGAAAGATCCCTGCCTAGCCTTTCATGAGCAGCTCTTAAAAATTCAGAAAATAGAAAATAAGTTACAAATATTGCTGCCACTATCTGAATGAACTGTAAAGGTAACCCTGAATGACATTTTCAGGAAATCAACCAAGAAGCTAAGTTCTGTGCCTGTGGAGCGATGCATCATGCAAACCACTGGCTAGTTTTGTTACTTTCGTTTATTTACCCCAATGTCTTTTGTGTGAATATGGCTGAAAATGAAGGCATTTGGGTTTAAAGCATCGAACAATTAGATTACTTCGTTTAATTTTACTTTGCATAAGTTACTATATTGTTAATAAATTACTGAGTCGTTTGTTTAAGATGCAAATAGCATCTGGAATTGATTATTCAGAGTGGGGTTCGATTCAAGTTAGTTAGCTGGATAGCTGGTTTGTGACGCAGAATAGTGCTAACAGTGTGTTTTCAATTCCCACACCAACTGAGGTTACCATGAAGGATTCTCCTTCAACCTGTCCCCTCGCCGATGCCCAGTTAAACCACCATCAGTCATCTCTCTCTCATTAGAGAGTAGCCCTATGGTCTGGTAAGACTATGGCAATTCGACCGTACCTTTTTTCACTGAGTCTGGGATTGGTTATTCAAAGTCTAATTAGGAACCAAAGGGTTCACTTTTGAAGGTCTTTGAACGTTTTGATTTTACAGTGTTGCGAGTACAAAGGTTAGAAAGGTTGATTTGGTCTGGCTGTCTGTTTCCGTGTCGTAACACTGAGATGTAACAAGACAGGGTTTGCTGGGCCCTGCTGCTGGAGAGGAGAAAGAGGCTGCTGAGAGCTGGGGAGGGAAAGAGGCTGCTAGGTGTGTTGAGTGGGGAGAAGGAGACTGCAAAGGAGTACGGAAGGAATACTCGGGTACCCCCAAACCAGGAAAACTTAAAATCGTTGATGTAATGAAAACTTGAAAATGGAATCTCTAACTTGATGCTGCATTTGATTAGCAGCTACTACATGGTGGGAAATTTAGTGGATTATTCTATTGTAATGAGCAATCAGTTATTAAAAGTAAATCTTGAGATTGAGATCCGAGATCCAGTAAAGCGGATAGTAACTACCTGGTTAAAATGTTCCAGCTTTGTGCATATGTGATAGTAATGCCTTGTGACCTTACCAATCTGTGGAAGGGACATTTGATATGTTGGCTTATTGGACGTACGTCAGTTACCTTGGGAAATGAATCTTTGCTTGCTTATACCTATTGTCTTGCACTTATTTAATTACTGTGGTACTTAAGATATTAATGCTTTCCATGTATTTTGTCCATTTAGAATGATGGAGGCTTGGTAATTATTGAGGATATTGATTAATTCTTCTACTTCTACTCCTGTATGAGTGGGGGTGGGCAGGGGAATTGATTTGTGCAAGGATTTATTGAATTCACAGAATAACTATTCATAATATTATTGCTCTTCCCCAGTTCTATATCATGTGCTACCTATAATAGCTACCTTTCATATTTGTGCTTTTTATTTCTCTTCCTGTAACTAGATGATTTCATACTGGTGGGGGCAAGTGGAAGAATGTGTAGTTTTGAAATGTACAGTCTTTCTAGCTAACTGAAATTTACTGATACTGCATGTTGTTCACAAGACGTTATTAATTAAAAAGTTGATGATGCTTGGATGTGGAAATGCTAAACATATTTGAAAATGCAGATCATGTGATTTGAACATTTGGCCTTGGATTTGGAATTGAGGAATAAGTGCCATTTCAGTAATGTTTATGACAGCATTAATTAAGCATGGTATGGAAGAGCACTGAGTTTAACTCTTGAATGGAGGACTGAGTTTACTTTCTCCTTGTCCTCTGGTTTATCACTAAGCCAGATTAAGGTATCCTCATTTGAGAGAGAATTGCTTTATTAGCGTACTTTGAGAACAATAAGCAGGTACTGTATTAATTCCTTGTATCCTGAGCTTCCCAAAGTAGTAAATTCTTGATAGTACATTTACTCTCTTATTTGGCTTCTTCAAAAAAGAACTTTCTAATGGAGCAGAGTGGAATTTACCCCTCTTCCCCTCTGTATATGTTATTAATGAACAATACATACTGTATCATGGTAACCTGTCTGTGACGCAAGATAAAAAAAAAAAGTCATCACCAGAAATTAATGAAAATATATCAGATGTTGAGGTGTGAGTGATAATTCAATGAGCTTTGGATCTAACTAAGATCTAACTGAGGAGTTCTTGTTAAATAACAGGACTGTCATGACAGCAATATTTTTCAAAATGCACTGTTCATTTTTTGCTCATGCGAAATGCTGCAGTTCTATTTTTATAATTCTGCTGCTAATTCATTTTGTCTATTTCTTGACGTCTAATATTGGCAGTTCCTTAATCATTTATCACATAGTTGGAAAAGTTGCCTTTCCGTTTAGAACTCATAACAGTATTGTGCTTTTTAAGGCAGCCAGACAAGCTGCTTCATCTTCAGCCCAATTTTCCACCATCATTTTTGAATCTTTCTTCTCTCCTTTCCCCTTGACAATGCTGACTCTCCAGTTGTTCCTTCAGCTTTGTAAATTACACCTGGAAGCAAATCTTGAACGTTTTATTTGTAACGTAAGAGCAAAATATTGCAGAAGCTGGAAGACAGAAATAAAAACAGCAGAGACTGAAGTCTGGCATCGTCAGAGGGAAGTAATGATGCAAGGTCATCGAGCTAAATCTTTTTGTTTAATTTGTTGATTTTTTTTTAAATTCTTTTGCTTGCTGTTAGTCACCTAATTTTAAAAATCATCTTCACTGTACTTCAAACTTCTTGACAGTTCTTGCACCCAGTCTTGATTTGAACCAGTTCCGATTTCTATTTTTCCGAAGCTCTTCTGTCTCATTTATGTTGCTCAACTGAGTTGTGTATTAATTCTGCAGCACTACTGAAATTGAAGTTGTAGTTCACCTTGAGTCCATTGAAGCCAGCAGCCAGTTTTCAGATGTATTTATTTTTGTCTCTGGAATCGTTCTAGTACTAAGCAACAGCACTGATAACGTTGAATTTTCATAGTATGTAAGCTTTTATAATGGCCAGCCTAATTTAAGCTCTAGGAATTGGTATTGGTGCCTGAAGTAATGGAAAGTTAAAAAGTGTGTTATTCATCTGTTTCCAGTAAAATGTCTAAGTCCAATTTTCATTCCAAACATAAACACTGGTACTTCAGGTCTGTCAGATAGTAAAGTATGTGACCATGTTGGTCGGTCTAGTTGTGAGTGATCTCCTGTAAGTTAGCTCCACTCCACTGGGGAGCTTGTCAGCAGTGAGGTGAAGCATTGCAGCGAGGTAGATCAAGAACAGTGTTGGGATGATGACGCAGCCCTGCTTGACACCAGTCCAAACAGGCAGTGGGTCAGTGATGGAGACATGTGTTGTTACCATGACTTCCACGTCATTGTAGAGCAGGCGAAGGATGGTGACTAACTTCACGGTGCAATCAAAGCGTAGAAGGACGCTCCATAATGCTTTCCTATTAACTTTGTGAAAGGTGTTTTGTCAGGTCAAAGAAAGCCATGTATAGGGGTAGATTCTTTTCTCTGCGTTTCTTGTGCAGTGCTTGTGCAGTGAAAAATTACAGAACCAGCGGAAAATTGTTCAACCACTGCTGCCTTCAACCCAAAACAGAGGCACTCAAAACAGAGGCACGCAGATGATGCTTGCATATGTCAGCCTCAGAGATATACTCCAGACCATCGTCAGCACCTTTACGGAGACATATGAGAGCATGGGTCTCGCGCTTATCTCTCGCAAGATGCAGGTCCTCCACCAACCTGGCCTGGCATTGTGGAGTGAACCCCTGATCATCAAGGTCCGCGGGAGACCTTAGAGAACATTGACCACTTCCAAATACCTCGAGTGTCCTGTCGGCCACAGCAGCTATTGATGAAGAGATCCAGCACCAGTGTGCTAGCGCAGCCTTCAGCCGCTTGAGGAAAAGGGTCTTTTGAGGACAACAACATCAGGCCTGACACCAAGATCATGGTTTACAAAGCTGCAATGGTTCCCGGCCTCCTGTATGGTTCCAAGACGTGGATTATCTACATCAGACACCTCAAAGCACTGGATCAGCACCACCAATGCTGCCTGCGCAAGATCCTGTAAATCTGTTGGGAATAAAGTCACACCGACACCAGCGTCCTAAGCCAGGCCAATATTGAGGCAGTGATCACCCTTGATCGGCTACGATGAGCTGGGCACACCATCCACATGACTTGCACGAGACTCCCCAAGCAGGTGCTGTACTCCTAGCTTCGAAACAGCAGGTGAGCTCTATTTGGACAGAAGAAGTGCTTCAGTGATACCCTCAAGATCTCACTGGCGAAGTGCAGCATAACCACAAACACCTGGAAATCACTAGCCCAAGACTGTGTGCAAAGTGGAGGAGGAGCATCCAAGAAGGCGTTGAACACCTCGAGACTTGCCGTTGGGGGACAGAGCAGAAGCTGGGCAAAAATAGCAAAAGGAGCGCACTGCCATGCCAACGCCCCACCCACCCCTTCCTGCAACCACCACCTGCCCCAAATGTAACAGAGCCAGTGGAAGCTACATCGGCCTGTTAGGGACTCACCCTGAGAGTGGAAGAGAGTCGTCCTTGTCTGTGAGGGACTGCCGAAGATGATGATGATGATGATGATGAGTTGTCTCCTGGAATGGAAGATTAATCTTCTGTGTGCTGTTGCTTGCAAACCAAGAGCTAACTACCTCAAATTTGCTTAGTTTTCCTTACACGCTTTTTCTATCATGCCCATTAAGTTGAATTGAGTTTGCAGCGAACAAAATAAAATTAATTTGTAGGATGAAGGTAGGAAGCAGACCTGGGCTTTTTCCTTCAGCACGTGATTTGAACTATGTGCATTACAATTGCTGTCTGGCTGTTTTGGCATTGAAGGAAGTTCAGTTTATGCAATGCCAATTCAGACAACCTGGAAGTTTAAAAAAAAAGAGTTTTAAGGCTTTTTGGAGCTGCTGTTTTGTTTATTTTTTTCACATTTTGCTATCATAAATAGACGTTTTATGTCTGTATAGTTTCTTAAATTTGAGATGTCTGATTAATTTCAGTTGAATGAGGAATTTTCATTGTTGGCTGATTCAATAAAATTGCTAATTTTGTACAGTCTGCTTCTGTATAGTCAAGCAAGTTCAACTTCTTGGGCACTGTTGCCCAGAACACAGGAGAGTAGTGAGGTTCATGATTTGTATTTGTGATTCCCATTTATGTATTTTCTTCACCAGTTCGTGGGTGATTTCCCAATTCTCTGCAATGACAAAGGTTCGTTGCAGAGTTGTTCGATTACATGCAATTAAGTCTTCGTAAAGTGGATGTAATAACATTTTCAAACCTTGGCTAAGTGTCATAGGATCAGGTCTGCAGGAATAATCCAGCAAGGTTAGCACCCCTGGCCCTCCTGTAAAGCCAAGAATAAATGTTTGAGTGCATGTAAGCAAGGAAGAGTCATGCAAGTATTGCAGTAGTAGCTTCAAGAATTAAGAGCTACTTTGAAATTTTGAAGTGAAAGAATTCCCTAGCATTTTAGCAATAGCTTTTGGGACAGAAAATGGAAAGCAAGCCAAATTATTGACATGTTTTCTCTCTTGACTTACAGAGAATTTTAGATATATGTGTGACATCTGTGGCAAGAAATACAAATATTATAGCTGTTTCCAAGAACACCGGGACTTACATGCGGTAGATGGTATGTATTCGCAAAGTAGTTGTTTCACTTTGTTTTGGATTAGCGCAGATGCATGTAGCTGATGGTTGGTGTGAAAATAAATATCAATTGCAAATTTATAGGAGATTTGCTAATTTCTAAATGCTGCTGAATATTAATGTCAAAATATTTGACGCTCAAAAGAAAAATGGAACAGTACTGGAAATCGCATGTTAAAAACTTTTCATTTCTAATTACTCGAAGCATTTCTGTGGGTAGAAATGGAATGAGTTTCGCACAAAATCTTTTTTAATCTCCAGGATGCAATGGATAACAATGTCATCTCTTTTCTTAAGCATTTCTTCTGTAATTTTAATCAATTTCCTAATGTGTATTAACCGGCAGCACAAAAATGTTTGCAAATTTGTAGGCTCATTCCAAAGTGAGGATGACTTGGTGCACTCTGCCACATTGGGCTGCACTGTTCTGAAGTTGAGGCTAAGACACATTGTTCAACAAAGTGAAGCGAACTTTGTAGTGATTCTTATCATTTTTAGTGCCTGCATCTACCATTTCCTCTGGCAGCTCATTCCATACATGCGCCACTCTGAAAAGTTACCCCTCAGGTCCCTTTTAAATCTCTCCCCTCTCACCTTAAATGTATGCCCTCTAGTTTTGGATCCCTCTACCCTGGGGAAAAGACCTTGGCTATTCAGCCTATCCATGCTCCTTATGATTTTATAAACTTCTAAGGTCACGCCTCAGCCTCCCTTATAATTCAAACCCTCCAGTACCTGCAACATCCTTGTAAACTTTCTCTGTACCATTTCTAGTTTAACAACCTCCTTCCTGAGGTTATAGACATGCTCGCCGTGCTGGTGGGTTTGGTTGAAAAAGTTTCGTCACCCTGCCACATAATATCATCAGTGCGCCTCCGGTGAAGTGTCTGTGTTCTGCTTGTTATTTATGTGACTTGGTTTGCTGGGGTGGTTGGTATTACTTCTCGTTCTGTTTCTCGGTTTGCACACAGGGTCTGATTCAATGTATTTGTTGATGGAGTTCCAGTTGGAAAACCAGGCCTCCAGGAATTCCCTGGTGTGTCTCTGTTTGGCTTGTGCGACTATGGATGTGCTGTCCCAGTTGAATTCATGTCCCTCGTTGTCCATGTGTAGTGAGACAAATGAGAATTAGTTGCGTTTCTTGGTGGCTAGTTGGTGTTCATTTATCAGTTTTTGTCAATTTCCTTCTGAGCCAAACGACATATGACAGTAATTTTCAATAGAACCCAATACATTGAGAAAGCTAACACGCTCCTAGCAGATACCGACACCTACCGACAGATAGCGATAGACCCAACACCACAGTTAGGAAACCGGATTACAACGACCCTGAAGAAATTATGCAATTCAGGAAACATCAGCAAGACTGACTACCAAAAAGTGACGCCAGACGGATCCAACACACCCCGATTCTACGGACTCCCCAAGATAACACAAACTGGGGTCCCCCTCAGACCCCTTGTCTCACTGCCAGTCGCACCAACATATAGACTTGCCAAAGAACTACAACAGAAATTGAAATACTTAGTGGACAGCACTACCTTCTCCAACCACTCATCCCAGGAATTCCTCAACATGATCAAGGACACCAGGATAGAAGAGGACGAGATGATATCTTTTGACATAACAGCACTATTTACATCAGTAACCATTGACCTAGCCAAAGCAACAATTGCCACACTGCTGGACGAACCAAGTAGGCAGGCAACCCAGGACACCAACAACATCAATAAGGACACGACCATGAAACTACTAGATCTGCACCTCACAACCCACTTCACCTTCAACGACAGCATATAGAAACAAATCAATGGAACACCAGTGGGATCTCCAATATCAGGACTGATTGCAGAAGCAGTAATGCAAAGGTTAGAACGGACTGTGCTCCCCACTACACAACCCAAACCTTGGGTCTGATATGTAGATTATACCTTCGTGATTATTAAACGCACAAAACTAGAAAAAAACCCACCGACACATAAACAACATCCTTACCGGGATAAAATTCATGAAAGGAGAGAACAGCAACTGACTACCCTTCCTGGACAAAATGGTAGAACACAAAAACAGTGGGAAACCCGAGACTAGCATATATAGAAAGACCGTACATACAGAACAGATACTCAATTACACTAGCAACTACCCCAACACCCACAAATGGAGTTGCATTAGGACAACTATTTAAACGAGCCACAACACATTGCAGCAAACCGGAACTATGCAAAGCCGAACAGGAGCACCTATACAGAGTCTTCAAAAGGAATGGATACCCGAAAAGCCTAATCCACCGTTACCTCCAAGACAAACCACAACAGGAAGACGCAACATGACCAGACTCACTAATCGCCCTACCATACATCAAGCACATCTCAGTGGTGACCACAAGACTACTCCGATCCCTAGGTATCAGAGTAGCCCACAAACTGACAACCACCCTACGACAGCTACTGACGAACGTAAAAGATCCCATAACCAAAACCAGCAAAACTGGGGTAATATACAGAACACCATGCAAGGACTGTGAGAAACACTACATAGGCCAAACTGGAAGAAAATTGACAATACGGATAAATGAACACCAACTGGCCACCATGAGACATGACCAATTCTCACTTGTCTCACTGTACGCGGATATCACGGGACATGAATTCGACTGGGACATCACATCTATAATCGCTCAAGCCTAACAGAGATGCACCAGGGAATTCCTGGAGGCCTGGTATTCCAACTGGAACTCTTATCAGCAAATACATTGGTTTGTACAAAGGGTCTAATTCAATGAGAAACAGAACCGGAAGTAATACCAACCACCCAGCAAACCGAGGCATATAAATTACAAGTGGGACAGGGCACCAACAATGTTACCTAGCAGGGTGCCAAAACATTTGCAAACATGTCTACAACCTCATCCACAACCCGAGCTACGAATCTTCTCAAACTTTAAACATCCTTTCTACAGCAGGGAGACCAGAATTGTGTGCAGTATTCTAAAAGTGGCCTCACCAATTTGTTGTACGGCCTCAACATGACGTCCCAACTTGAAAATCATTTTTAAAACACTATGTTGGAGAGCAAGCCATTATTGCAATGTGATAGGAGGGGAACTTGCAGTTGGTTGTGTTCTCATGTATCTGCTGCCCTTGTCCTTCTGGATGGAAGTGGTCATGTCTTTGGAAGGTTCTGTCTAAGGGTCTTTGGTAAATTTCTGCACTACATCTTGTAGATGGTACAAACTGGTGCTCCTGAGCATTAGTGGTGGAGGAATTGGATGCTCACATCATTCATGCATGCTGCTTTGTCCCGAATAGTGTCATGCTTCTTATGCATTGTTGGAGTTGCACTCATCCAGGCTCGCAGGGAGTATTTCATTGTACTCCTGACTTGTGACTTGTAGGTGGTGGATGGGCTTTCGGGAGCCAAGAATTGAGTTAATTGCAATGGTATTCCTAGCCTCTGAGCTTCTCTTGTTGCCAGTGTGATTATGTGATGGGTCCAGTTGAATTTCTGGTCAATGGTAACTCCAAAGATGTTGATAGTGGGGGATTCAGTGATGGTAACACTCTTGACATTCAATGTCAGTAAATGATTTTTACTTTGTTCACAAGCCACGTCATAATTGTGAAACTATTTCATCAGAAAATAACTCTGAACAGTAAAGTATGTAAATTATAGCTTATGATTCATATTTTTCTCAAAGCAGTGTAAGGATTTGCATGGGTGATGGCTTTGTGATTTGTATCTACTTCAATGTTGAACTCCAATCATCTGTATTATGCCATTAAAGTTTGCTTGTTTTAATTTTCCTTGCCAGTCAACAATTTCACTGAACCAAATGGCATATTTGAGTTTTATATAAACTGAACTCACTCCAAGTCGAGTGGAAACTGCTAATTAAAATCTTGACACTTAATTGGCATGCACGCAACTCAGTCTTTTGATTTGTGTAGACTATAATTGCTTATCCTAAGCAATGTAACGATTATGACTTTCGTGGGATTCACTTTATTCAGTTCCTTTTTATTGTGAACCTTGCAGTGAGTTCTGGATACCTTGCTGTACTGAAAAGGCACACCCCAACATTGACATTCAAGCACACTTTTTAAGGAGAAACTAATTCTTCTGGGGTAGGAAAGTTTATTGTATGAATTCTTGCTGCTCCTTTAGCATTGTGATGTTATATAATTAATTAACATCTTTCTTAATTATAGATCCTTATGATCAGGCAGTTGAGACACCGGCAGAAGTGAAAACTGAACAGATGGAAGAAACTGTCCGTAGCCCTGGATCAAGTATGAGTTATTTTTAATTGGAGAAAATATATGCGTATTAGAAGCCTGCATTGTTGATGTGGCACAGTGCTTTGAATTTTACTAGTGCCACATAATATCAAGACCAATTTGGGCAGAAATAAGTGTTTGTATGTGTTTGCTGGGAAAACGGTAGGCTCATCAAAACACTAATGTGGCAGGAATTTTTGAAATTATTTTTCAAAATATCTGTTAAGTGTTTTGGCCAGTTTTTGCATCTGTCTGTCTGTCTATATTCCAGACTTGATCTATTGAATGCGATTTTAATTTTGCTGAAAGCTTACTCATACAAGGTATTTTAAAATTTAAGCACATAAGGAATGAGCAGCTGTCTGATGTCTTCTTCTCTAATGCTTAGCACCAAAACTAGAACGTGGAGTATGATACTCAGAAAATGATTCAGTTGAAAAATTGCAAGGGGCGTGTAAACCAAGAGAAAGTAAACTAATAAACCTCCCCAGTGGTGCATAAATGCAGTGCAAAATCAAAATTGAATGAAAATTGGGCCTCCAAACATATTTTATTCAACCAGCTGTTATTAGCAAACGTTTATGGTTCTCAAAAGTTTCCAATGTAAATGTTGTCGGGAAATTGAACATTTCTTAACAATTGCTGATATATACCCATGTGCTGTAATTGCAACTGTTATGATAATGAATGTAACATTTATTAAGTATGCCAATGTTTGTGTCAGAACATTTTCATATTTATATCAATATACAATGAATTGTAAGAAGAAAGGCTGTAGTGCCACGTACTTGCAGTCTCTCCACGCTCAAACTGTTTTCAGTTCCATTATTCTTTGAAGAAGTACAGCTTCTTCACTCGTGGATCTTTCTTTACTAAGTCCAATATAGTTTACCCGAGTATGCCAGGAAAAGAGGTTCTTAACTGATTTCCCCCTCCAGTGACAAAATGATGCATATTTAATTTGCTGTCCAGAGTTGGTTAAAGTAGAAATGTCCACTAAATCATTATTACAACACTTTTTTTTTAATAGCTGGTTTGTAGTATATTTCTGTTGTTTACTGTTCTTGAGTTTCCTGCTAAAACAAGAACTGACAGTTGGATGTTAGTTCTCATTATCTTGTATTACTGTTCCAGAAACAGGTAGCTACATCTGTGAATACTGCGGCAAGCGATACAAGTATTACACTCCTTACCAGGAACACGTGGCTTTGCATGCATCTTCCGGTATGTATTATGTTCAAAATCTAAATTTGTTCTTGCAATAAGTAACAGACTGTAGGGTCATTAATCAGATTGAAGTTTGCAGGTGAGCTAAATAACCTCTCCAAACATTTATGAATGTGCAAGTATGTTTTATTCATTCGTGCAATGTGGGTGTCACAAGTAAGCCCAGCATTTATTGTCCATTTGGGCCATTAGAGTTTGTGTGGTCAGGGTATTCTGTAAAGACAGTGTCTTTTTATTTTTGTGGACCTATAGACTGAAAGGAGAGAGAATTATTTTAAGATTGAGGGTGTTTTTTAAGGGTCTACATATTTTGAAAAGCAAATAGCCTAATTCCTGTGACAAAGATCGTAAAAGCCTCTTTGAACCAGCAGTAATTAAAGTTTAAGTTGCAGGTGAAGCAGAGCTGGGAGATTCTGTATTCAGAGGCAGTTGGGTGACTACAATAAGTTGATTGGTCTATGGACTAGTGACTAGTTAAGATAACAGATATTTTTGCTTTCCGACAAGAGGTTAGTTCTCAGATTGAGCAACTTGATCTGGAAACAAGCTACAGAGACAGAAAGAAAAGAATGTGCAGACCTTCTTCCAGCCCAGAAGCTGCCATGTTTGCTGCCATCAAAAATTCTGTTTAAACCTGAAGAAAACCAGTTGCTTTTCCTGCAGCAGTTGCTGTAGGTTGTGACTTTCTGAACTGATCAATTTTCCAAGTGGAAGCGTCCCAAGGTATCTGAACAACAGGGGGTTGTTGAACAACATCAGAATCAGGAAGCAAAGACAACTGAACTGATTTTCTAGTTTTTCTACCTCTGTCAATAATCTGCTTTCCCTATTTCTTTGTTACTGGGTGGCGAGTTTTCGTTATTATTATATGCAAGTGGCTTATATCTGTGTTCCTGTAGCTATAGTCTAATTACCTGCAATAAATAATTCTTCTTTAGTACACAAACCTGGTCTATGTTTTCTATCAACCTTGGTTGTACTGATTCTCATAGTTCTGTTAGAGCATCAGTTTTGACTCCATGAGGAATGGAAAGTCTGTGACTTGAACAGGAACTCTGGAGTTCCAATGTGCCTGCTGTCCTTGTCCATCTAGTTGATGGAGATGGTGGATTGGAAGATGTTCCCAAGTAAATGTTTGACAGGTTGCTGTAGTGTGTGTTGTAAATGGTGCATATTTCACTGGTACATAATACAGTGCGGTTATGATGGAAGGAAAGAATATTTAAGATGGTGGACGAGGCACAAGTCGAGTGTGCTACTTTGACCTAGGTATTGCCAAGTTTCTTGAGTGTTGTTGGAACTATACTCGTCCAAGTAAGTGGGGAACATTCCATCGCATTACTGACTTGTGCTTCTTAAGGGACATAAAGACTTTGGGGACATAGGAATTAGTAAATGTAAAACATCCAAACTCTGTCCTGCTGTTGTAACAACAGTGCTAATATGGCTGGTCTGATTTAACTTTCTGGCCCGTGGAAACCTTTGGCTGTTAAGTGAAAGATTCAGTGATAGTAATGCTATTAAATGTTGAGGGGACATGGTTGAACTCTCTTGTTGAAGATGGTAACTGCCCCTTGTTGCATAAATGTTACTTGCCACTTGTCAGGCCAAACCTGAATGTTGTCCCGGCATTGCTGCATTCAGGTATAGACTGGAGCTAACACTACAATAATCGGAATAAAATTACTTCTGGTCTAATGATGGAGGGGAGTTAGTTGAAGAAACTGATGGACAAGATTTCACATTTTATAACTTACTGTAATAATCAAACCAATGTCATATTAATTTAGGTTTAATTTAATAGAAACTATAAATTACACTTCAAATAGCTGATGCAACAAACTGGCAATCCCCTTCGTACCTATGGCAGCACATTCAACTACTATGTCTTTCAAATGTGTGTCTTCCTCAAACAGAGCTCAACTTCTTTGACTACAAAGACTTTTAACTACCTGACTTTTCTCTAGCAGCTACTCCCAACAACCCCATGTTCCATGGGTATAGTCTTCACCAAAATGGCTAGTCCTGACTAATGTGTCTCTTCAAAACAATTGAAACACTGGAATAACTTCACTTTTCTCATTCCTAATCCCAGAAACTTTCCACAATCAAATCTGTGCAATCTACCTGCAATGAACTGTTACTGAAATCTGGACTCCAAGAGCTCTGTTTTCCTTTTGGTTACGATGATTGCAGACACTTCTGTCTTTTGCATACACGTGCTGGGCTTCAGTAATAATTGAGATTGAGAACATCCTTGAAACACCTCCTGTGCATTAATTGTTTAACTATCCACTGCTATTCACAACTTGATATGGCAGAGCTTTGATCTGATTCATTGGTTGTGGAATTGCCTGATCCTGCCTATAATTTGTTGCTTTCACTGCTCAGCAAGAGGTTTCAAAACCAGACAATAAATTTTGGACAAGGAGGCTCTTTCTCCACTAATATTGTGACAATTTATTAAACGACTCAATGAAAGAAATTAGTCATAGTCGTACAGCATGGAAACAGACCCTTTGGTCAAGTCATCTGTGCCAACCAGACATCCTAATCTGACCTAGTTCCATCTGCCAGCGTTTGGCCCATATCCCTCTAAACCCTTCCTATTTGCATACCCATGCCTTTTAAATGTTGTAATTGTACCCACCTCCACCATTACCTCTGGCAGCTTGTTCCATACACACACGCACCACCTCTGAATGACGAAGTTACCGTTCAGGTCCTTTTTTAAATCTTTTCCCTCTCCCTCAAACCTATGCCCTCTAGTTTTGAACTCCTCTACCCTAGGAAAAAGACCTTGACTATTAATTATTTGTCCTAGAGTTTAAATGGTTCCTGTTTTCCACTAGTTCCAACTGACTCCAGTGGCTACAGATGGCTCCTAACTTCCTTTTTCTCTTTCTTCAAATTTTTACAATGAATGTCTTCAAGTGAGTTCTTTTATCCTGTATGGCTAGGAGTCTTGTTGTGATCTGATTGCACTTTAATGTTGTTAATTCATTCCACACACAAGTGTCCTATGGTCACAAAGCAAACAGGATATCCTTGGCACCTAAACATTGTTAACTTTTTTCCTTTGACAACTGTTTGCTACAACTTCAGGACTTGACCAGTGCAGTCATGTACTGCTGTTACTGCTGCATGCTCATTGGCTGATGGAGGGCAATAGGTGCTAGTCAACGGGAGTTTTGTTTGCCCATGGTTCGGCCTGATGTCAAACATATTCATGTGTAGTGGTTAGGGTTGTATTATAGACACGTGTTTGATCTGTACCTGTAAATTAGTCCTGTCTAATACCAACAGTTTGGAGAAATTCCAAATTAAACTTAAACTTATACCACGTTTTCATGAAAATATTAGCCCCAGAAGTTAGTGAAAAATCTGATTTAATATTTCATAATTTAATATATTTGTTTTGAGTTTTGTGCTGTAATTATATAGTGTAAATTCCTCTTCCTTTGTGGATTAAACTTTAATAACTGACATTGGTTTCTGTGGCTTGCTGTGACAAATGATGGATTAATTAATCTAGAGGCACCTGGATTTTTTTCAGCAAATTGAATTTGCATTAATCCATTCAGGAGAGAGGCCTTATTAAAAGTTATTACATGACTTTAGAAACATGTTTGATAAACTTCACCTTTAATCAAATCCTGATGTGAATGAAGTAAATTGCTTCGACAACTGACCAGAAAGCATTCATCTCATTAAATTGCCCACTTCCCTGGTCTTGTGATGATCTCTCATTTGAACTCTGGATATTATTTGATTGGCATCTATAAATTTCTTTAATGATTACACAAAGCAACATTGTGGGTTGCTCACATTGTCATCTAGGAGCAACATGTAGTCCATTTGGAAAGCATCCACCTGAGGAAATATTAGCATCAACTAGAAATTTATTATCCAGTTCTCAGATTTCCAAACCGTAATCTGGACAGTCACCTCTAAGGTCAAAAAAGCATCTACTTCGTTTCATAGGAGATTCGAAGTAGCGGGTCTCTATGTTTTTGAGAAGTTGGACACAGTTGTTTCTTCTTGTGTGGTCATAGAGCTTGACTGTCTTAGAAGATGTACAACATTCATCTGCTACCTTGGCAAACAGAAGTACATATGTGCTTCCAAAGATTAACAAGTTATCTTGTTGCTAATGTAAGAAATTAAATGTAACAAAGCATCTGCCATGTCAGCTTTTTAAAAACAAAGAAACAACCTGGAAATGATTTATTCAGAGCATAATGTGCTTTTTGAAAAAAAATCTCATAATCTTTCTTTAAAATGTGCAGATGCAGAGAGCTCCCTTGGCAAAAGAAGTGAAACTAAACTATCAAATACATGTGAAGAAAATAACAGCTCTCAGAATTCTAGTGGTAGGTATGATGCACGAAGTAAGTCTATAGCATAATACTTCAAATGTACTGTTAAAGGCCAGGGATCTATCTTTTAAAAAGGTAGATAATTTGATCTATTTTAAGTGCTACTTTAATTCTGTGTAGAAAATTGTGGATGTAAAGGTCGGAAATGGCTGTTCATGTACAAGTTCATATTGACAATAGTGCTTGTAGGACGGAAATGGTATGGTGGTAGTTTCACTGGGCCAGTTAACCAGGGGCCCAAAGAGGCTGATGAAATTTGAATCTAGTCAGAGAATCTGCCATGGTGATCATGACAACTGTAGCTGATTGTTGTAAAAACTCATCTGGCTCACTAATGTCCTTTAGGGGAGGAAATCTATTATTCTTGCCTGGTCCTGACTACATTTGATTTCAGATCTACAGCAGTGTGGCTAACTTTTTACTGACCTCTGAAATAGCCTACCAAAGCATGTAGTTGAAATGCCATTAGGAATGAGATGAAATGATGGCAATGCCATTTGTGACCACATCCTTTGAGAGGGTAAAGAAATAGATGTTAGAAAATCACAACTATTTCAATACCTTGTGTTTTTTTTTTACATTACGATTGTTTATGAAATTCTGGCCCTAGTTCTCTTCTGGTTGTATATTGTAAAAGAATCCAAAAGTCCAAAAGTTACAGCAAAGTAGAAGAAGTTTTATCATCCAGGAATCCAGGAATTTTGAAGCCTAAAATCCCCCTCCAGATTACAACCAAAAAAACAACTATTTAAATAAAAGCTGAAATATTCAAATCGGAGTCATCTTCTGCAAATATTACACAAGATGGGTTGTAATGTGAGCAGGAATTGACAGATTTTAAAAATACAAATTTCTAAGGTCAAAAATAATCATCCAGTAATTGCAGTGATTTAATACTCAGCATGATGTTTACTCTGTGTTGTTACAAGTAAACTGATGTTTTTGAGCTTAGTATTTATTTTTAATTATTTGACACTTCTCTGGGATTCCTCCCAAAATGGAATACCTGTTAAAGCCCGCCCCCCCGCCCCTCCATCGCTCTTGCTCTCTCTAACCACCAACTCCATTCTACCATAAGTCATCATGAAGAGATACTAAAACAAAGAATTGTGAATGCTGATGATCTGATACACAAAACAGATATTGTTGGAGAGACTTGGCAGGTCAGGCAGCATATGTGGGACAAAAGCAGAGTTAACATTTCAAATCCGGTGACTCTTCACCTGAATGTTCTGATGAAGTGTCATTCGACTTGAAACGTTAGCTCTGTTTTCTTCCTGCAGATGCTACCAGACCTCCTGAGTTTCTTCAGTTTCTGGTTTTGTAAGTAATGGGTGGATTTGTGTCAGTTCTAATTTAGTACTATTTCAGTCATTTAATACAAATCTCCTTCAAGATTTTTGTGGCTTCCACTATGGCATGTCCAATATTATGCAAGATAAGGTTCTCAAAGGGTTAACGTTGGTGATTGGACAGAGCTTAATGCCATTTGATGTAATAAAGACTTTGAGGGGGAAAGACTTGAGTATCTTAGGTATTCACTGTACAAGATCCTGTAACCACATGTTGCCCAATATTCTTCGTAACAATATCAAACTTCTGTAACTTTTATCTGACTGCTGTTGTGCAGTAAGCTACGTTTTATTTAGACTCGCTAATTGATTTCCTCTATCATTGTAAATCATGTAGACCCTTGGACCCAGTCAAGGAAACAACAAGCTGACAATGGTTGCATTGTAGCACATCCAGTATCTACAGAATGAGCACATCCATCAAAACTGCTATTACACTGTTGTTCAAAGAGTATAAAATTTGTAGACTCATGACTCCTTAAATGGTCCCTTTGAATTTTCTTCTATTTAGTTACAAATTTGTGCTTTGAAATTGTTCAATCAGTTATCCAAGAGGAACAGTATAGCAGCTGTATTCATGTTACTGATTTTTTTTAATGAGTATAGGAAGTACAGTATAACTGAAAAAAAAAGTTTATACTTAACAGGAACAATCTGGAGCATTACTACAAACGTAACTTGCATTTGGATTCTGTCTGCCTATTGCATCATAAATGCCTCTCTAAAGTAAGTACACTTACTTTAATAAATTATTTTCCAGGAGGTACCAGCGTACAGAAGTCAGGTCCATCTTCTGCCAAAAGTAAGTCAAAACTGATCTATGTCACAGGCAGTTTTTGCTTTGACTTTTATTGCAAGTTGTGACATTTAAAACAATAAAAAATATTTGAAGTCAAAATGCATGAACGTAATCTCTGGAATAAAATGAATTTTGCATCTGAAAATTTATATAAATTGCAAATGAGATATGGTTTGTTTAATATTTACAGATGGAGCCACCTGTCAGAGTTGTGGAAATGAACATAAACATTGCACCTGCTTAAGACAGCAGGCACATAATAGCAGAGCAAGAGGTAATTTATGAAATATCGTATATGCAAATTAAAATGCTGAACATGCAATTATCTAACAAACTCTTTATTCTTTATGCCTCAGTTCTTCTATGCATAAATATACGTGCAAATAATAACACTGAGTCATTATCCTATAGAATTGTCTTCACCTAGGTGTCATTTAGATAACAAAGTCAGCTAAATGGCCAAGATGTGAAATTTATGGATTGCTGGCATTAGTGAATTATCAGAAATTAATACAATTCACAACCTAGTATAAAGCCAATTGTAGTATGCTAATTACTGCAATCATATCATTGTTAATTCCTTAAAAAATGATTATATGTGTGTGTAATTGTTTTATGTCACTGGATGTAACATTCTGCCTAACTCATGAAAAGACAGATTCATATTTCAAGAGGGGATCCTTTATTCTGACAGTTTCCAACCCAGCAAAAATATTTTGTTTTTCTTTCATAGTTTTAAAGACCTGCTGTATTATGAACGTTTTCCTATTGAAATAAATAAGGACCTCAGGGAATTTGACAAGGTGGATTCTGAGAAGGTGTTTCTCCTTCTAGAAGAGACTAGAATTAGAAGTCACAGTTTGAGGTCTCACTTTTAGGGTGAAGATTGTCTGAGAGTTTTTACTCTGTGGAATTTGCTTCCCAGAAAACAGATTGGACTTGTTTTGTCAATTTATTCAAGGCTGTCTGTCATGGACCTTTGGTAGACAAGGGAGTCAAGGGTTGTGGAGGACAGGAAGGAAAATGAAGTTGAAATCACAATGAGCTCAGCCATGACCTTACTAAATGGCAGAGTAGGCTTGTATAGCCAGATAGGCTACTTCTGTTTCTGAGCTGTTACTTTATTTTTGCTTTTAATTAACTGAAGATGTAACTGCATATCAAATTTTACAGTAATTCATTTTTGAAAGTATTTGCTTAGATTTTTTCTGTGTAAAATTAATATTCATACACCTAGAAATGTCATCAAAACATTTGTGAAATAGCTGCAGAAGTGCTTTTTAACCTGAAATGAAGTCCTTAACTACTTTTCGCTACACAATGCGCATCATGCCAGAGAAGGGCAAATCCAGTATGTTTTGCAGGAATAATTAAGAAAATAAAAGTTTTTAGAATGAATGAGTTTGACTATATTTGACCTAAGCCAGAAAATGTGTTTTTTTTTAATATTTTTGACATGATCTCAGCTCCAGAACCTGCTTTTGAAGATTGGCTCATTTATGGGTGCTGGGTGAGAGTATGCAGGACTACTACCTTTAATGTGTCACTCATGCCCAACAGGATGCTGGAAGATGCTCCAAACTTTAAAGCCTTTGACCATTTAAAAATAAACTGTAAATGTGTTGATTTGTCGTTAAAGAACAGCTGAATGGTGTCATCCATTCAGTGAAGCCCCACCCAAGATGAACAGATTTTGCTAGTCTTTGCCTTTCAGATCCTCCAAATTTGTGATATTCCTGCAAACCCTATCACACAGATTTGTGGGTGGTCTTCAGGTCAGTTGTTTGCTGAGCAGTATGACCAGAAAGGTGATTGAAGGTATTATGACATCACTTCCAGCACAATCCTTTAAGTAACAAGAACAGCATGTTAAGTGGAAGTGTCGTGGGAAGGTATGCTGTAAATTTCCATCCCTGTCTCTAGCAACTCAGAATTCAGTCCTTCCAGAACAGTTGGCAGGGCAGTTGCTTTACACAAGTATAAAAATGGCCAGATTGTACATATTCTCTGACCAAATCATTCTAGTTAATCCATCCTGACCAAATCTGCATCATATAAAATTATGTTAATTAGAAGTTGTCATCATTTGCAACACATGTTGTGTCAGTACAGATGTTTTTATTTTTAGCTCATAAAGACATTTTGTCCAAAAATCAGTACCTCCAACAATTGTTAAATAATCAAATATTAAGTTTCAAAATAAACTTAATGCCATGACTTTTTTAAAAAATAGTACAACTGAGATAAAATCTATCTATAGTATGAAATCAAACAGCATTCGCAGCTGATATGCTACCATTCTGCTCATAGACTGATAAGGTGCTGAATGAAAGGACCCTTAGGCGGTAAAAATAGAATGAGTGCTTCCATATAAACTCTTGTACACTTCCTGCTGAGCACGTGCAGAGACCACTGTGACGTACCTGCCACCTTACTGAAATAATGGATGTCACAGAAGGTAATATAAAAGAAATGTTGTTTAAAAAGAGCATCAGCCTATCTGTCATATATAATATTTCCCCTAATAACGTAATAATTCCATTTAAGTGTTAGTAAAACTGTAGGTGATAACTGTCACTTAATCTTGATATTTTGTAATGGATTTAAGTTAGTGCCACACAATTGTGTGTCAAACAAAGCAAAACTCCATAAAGTAATCAAACATAACATGATTTATTTTTGTTTAGTTGTGACACATTAGAAAAAAATCATAAAAATTGAATCTGATCACCTGAGCTGAATATTAATTATATTAAATTATTGAATATTAGGTGACTAGTTTAACATTTTTTGTGAAATTGGAGTTTTTAATTTGATTTCAATGAATGCATTTGTTTTGTATTAAAATTCAGCTACTGCTTAATATTTTAACTAATCTTTGAGAGGATTTCCAACTTGCTATCGCCAAATTGTGCAAAAGTTATTGAATAATCCAATAATATGCAATGGAGTGTAATTTCTCAGTAGGAAATATGGTTTGTCACTAGGCAATTTTATTAAAAATATTTCCCATCTGGTTTTCATATATCAGTTTTTGGTTTTATGTGGTGTTTTCCCCTTTCCACACAAGACACAGTCATTCCTGCATCCATGCTTTCTCATTGGGGGGGGATTTCTCTTGGATGACTCAGTGTCATCATTTACAAGGTCTTATGAGCATTGGTTCAGGGAAAGTTGACCTGTAGAATGAATTGAAGACTGGTGAACATTACCCTCTTGGAAAAGCCAGTGTGATGGTCACAATTGAAATTTGAAATTTGGTATATTTGTATTGGAGTACTCTATTGTTACATTGACTTTATCATTTCTGATTTTTATTTTTTCTGTTCCATTTAAGAGCAATACACCTGTGGGGCATGTGGGATTCAGTTCCAGTTTTATAACAATCTAATAGAGCACATGCATTCCCACACAGGTAAGGGCTTTTTTCTCCCCCTAATGATTGTTGGTTCATTTGCGTGTTAAACCCACTTCACAACATGCAAGTTCAATTTATTGTACTTCTATAAGGAATCATCTTGTGTGCTGAAATTGTAAAGCTCTGCAAAAGATTCAACCAGACTGTGAGCGAGGTTCCCCAATTCATTATAATTCCAGACTAGATACCCCAAACTGTTAAACTCCCAGGTGAGGAGGGATGATTTGGCACTCTTTTGTTCAGCAGTCCCTTCAGTTACTTGCAACAAGGTTAGTTGGAAAAGGACCACATCTTATGTGGGTACATTTTCTCCCAGATCCAAATTAACTTGTGTTTTAACCAGGTTTAATATAACTAGCTATTCTTGAATTAACAAAAACAGTAAGTTTAATAATTACTACACTAAAGAAGAAACATTAACACACTACACGTACAAATAGATTAGAAACAAGAGGTGGTTACAAAAAGGTTGGCAGATTAATCTTTGAATTGAGCAACACGGGTGGATAATGAAAGTTTCATGACTGTGACTTTCACAACATGCCAACACTGAAACCAACTTTGTGCATACAAAAGCATTCAGTCTCTCTAGCACTCTTCAGTAGAGTTGAAACTGGCTTTTTAACCTCTGACCTTGTGAATTCTTCAAAGGGAAAAGCAAAATGTGTTTCCAATTTGGGACATAATCCACAGGGAATGGCTTGCTGTTAAGCAAATGGTCATCAGCCCTTCATTACCTTTGTAGTCACAATAGTTCACAGTCTAGCCTGCTTAAAGTTTCTTTGACATCTTTAAATGTTACATCCTATTGTTCTCAGACTGAACTTTTGCCAGTTAGGCACTGAATTAATGCCTTCAATTATTTTGTCTCTGTAGCAGTCCTCTTTTAAAACAGACACATTTTGGGCTTAAGTTGTCAACACCAAAAAAAGCACCTTTTAAGTTTGTTTTTACAAGTTTTATAAAAAATTCTGCTTTTAAATGCCTGCTTTGTTTTAATTTGCAATATAAAATACTATGCAAAATAAAGTACACTGAAATTTGGAAAGATTAGTAGTCGTGGAGAGTGTACAGCTTCCATTTATTTTGATCATGTTTTGAAAGCAGCAGTTGTATTTCCACAATTCTTGGTATTTTACAAATGGGGGTAACAAGCATTTTGAAAACACAATCAGTGTGTTGCTGAAAAAAGAATGTTTTTTGAAGCTTTTCATCTTGCATGGATAAATGCAACAGTTCTACATTTGAAAGGGGTCAACAACTTAAATTGCATGAAGAAAGGTGCTGATTGGTTAGCAGTTCAGCTCTGATTTGTAGAAGTGTTGCTATGGGGAATACATCAAGGAATTATTGTTCCTATCAAGCACAGAAAATGCTAGAGAAACACAGCAGATTTGGCAGCCTCTGTGGAGAGAAAGAGTTAATGTTTTGAGCCTGGTGTAACTCTTCAGAAAGGAAGTGATGATCTTGAATTGCTTAATAGTGGAAATCTTAGCATACCCACGCTTGTTCTGCAAATGATGTCCAAAATGGAATCACTTTTAATATTGAAGGTGATTGTTCCGAGGTTTTCAAACACACAGGCTGATTGAGTATGGTCAGTACTGTAACTACTGTGGACAGTTGGAGGGATATGTTCTTTGATACCACCATTGGTCGTTGGAACATTCAGCCTGCGTAGCTTGCATTGGACTAGTACAAATTTAAGATTAAGTCAGACTACCAATGTGTCTTAACTGTGCTTGCTATAAGTTGCAGTGGAAAACCGTGGGCCTTCCACTGTGAGAAAAAGAAACATGTATAGGCATTCTGCCAGTTTTATACTAAACAGAAGTGTAAGGGATTTTGATGCTTTCTCCATGGCAATGCCTCAACCAATTTGGGTTAACTTGTCAACCGATTAGCACCCTTTTCTTGTACAGTGTTAATTATTATTCCTTTTCACACTTAGCATGCTTGCATCTGGCTTTATGAAGACAAAACAAAACATTGCAACAGTATTCCTGTTTTCAGCAATACTCAATTTCTTCACTACCAAGTGACTATTTAAGATAGGTTTTAAATTATATCATTTGATACCAGCAGACGAATCACATGGCATGATTAGCTATTTTTTATTGGCATTTAAAACTTATGGAAGTACAATGTTTCTAAAGTTAACAAAACATGAATGGTATACACCGAGCTAGACCAGAATATATGTAGATTTAGAATAGAGCTACTTGCCTTTTTTGTTGCAAGTAGTGATTCTTTTAGTTTAAATTCTTTAACATTTGTGATCAACTTCGTGGGAAACCTCACTTGGTTTTTCATTCAGAATGTGAGACTAGGGAGATCAGGTATGATTTGTTAATATATTTTTCCTTACTTGTCATTTCTGATCATATGATAGATGTGAACATTTGGTTTCTGTTACAAGTTCTGTCCAAGAAATCAAATCCTTAGTAATTGGGTCACCCTTAGAGCAGCAATCATTTTTTTTCCTAAGAATGCTTGAGATTTCTCTGCTAATCCTAGCAAACTTGTATTAATTTAACGCTTAAAACCTAGACAACTTAGAACTACTCATGCTTAACATCCTCAATCAGATATCAAAATGTGTTAAGGTCAATAGGTTGAGAGAAATGCAAACCTTCGTGAACACCCATTTAAGTGTTCTGTGTAGCCCCTTAGGTTTCATGTGACACCTCTATATTGGCATGTTAGCACTTGAGCTCCGATGTTGATCTAAGGAACCTGATAAATAATGCACAAAAAGACAACTCCCAGTAGAGCTGTTGAATATACATTACTTTGCTACCATCAGGAAGTCTAAAGGCCATTCCAGGCTTAATGAACATTCTGAAAAAAATTGTCCATAGGCAACACATGCATTGCAGCTAGAAAGGGGCATCTTATTGACCTTCACAAAATATAGCCTAGACATCTGTAGATCTGTCTTATTCCCTTGAAATTCCTCCCTCCTCTCCTGATATCTACTTGTTCAACTTGTGCATGTAGAGGATACAGTCTCTGGAAAGAAGTTTAAGCTATTTTTCGATTTGCTCAAAGAATATGAGTGTGGCTGGCAAGACTTGACCTTGAGAACGTTGCCAAAAAGACGAAAGAACTGTGGATGCTGGAAATCTGAAACAAAACAAATTGCTGGACTTTCTCAGCAGGTCTGGCGGCATGTGTGGAGAGAAACAGAGTTACTGTTTTGGATCCAGTGACCCTTCAGAACCTCAATTCTGAAGAAGGGTCACTGGACACCAAATGTTAATTCTGATTTCTCTCCACAGATGCTGTCAGAACCGCTTGAAAATCTCAGCGGGTCTGAACTTCTGAGGTGTCTTTGTTTTTGTCAAGCACGATTTCCACATAATGCATGCAAAGACAGGTTATTTAAATTAATTTTTTGCAATCAGAAATAACTGACCGTGCAGTGACACCGATGTATGGCATGACAATAAATCTACATAGAAACTAATTCATTTGCAACTGTCTTTTTGCCTTGCCTTCTGAATGTATCTCCTCTGCCACCCCAACCAAAATGGCTCAGCGATGGTCACACTGTAATGAAGTGATGAGTTTGTTCCAGACAACTTAAAATCCTATAAAGTTGTTAATCTTCTCTTCACTCTCTGTAGCCTTGTAATCCATGTGATTTATTTTATTCTAGCTGATAATGAAAACAGCTTAGCAATTAAACAGGTGCAGCCGCCTCGCACTGCTGCTGCAACTACGTCTACGTCTACTTCTGCCACTACTACCACAGCTGTTGCTGCTCCTTCCCCAGAAAAGAAGAATGCTCTTCGCCAGAGCAACTGCACAAATGATGGTATGTACTATAAAAGCACTGGGCAGATGGGGCAAGAAACTGTTTTTACTGTGTAACATGAATGCATTAGTGTCACTTGAGCTTGAATCTGGATTTCATTCTCTAACTTTAATTCTGATCAAAACAAAATATCAAACATGCCGAATAATACCGCATTTAAGAATGGTAGGAAATGAGTTTGTTGTAGAATTTAATTTCGCAAATTGTCATGTTAAGGAGTGAAGCAAGCGACAGTTTGGCACTTATCAAGTTAATACAGCAATACTGATATTAGAAAGGTAAATAATTCCCATTTCAAATTCATGTGTGCTTGCCTCGGCATGTAAAGACTAAACGACAAATGAAGTGGGGATAGGTGGAATAATTTTTCCAAACAAAAAAGTAATTTTGAAGGCTGTTCAAATTTTTGAAGAGTCTGCTTAATATGTAAAAGTACAGTGAACTGAAAGTAACATAACTGTCATGTATTTTCTATTTTGTCCAAATTGGATCCTTGATTTAATTTGCTTCATTTTCTTAAAATCCAGCCCAAAATAAAACTATTCATCAATGAGGCACAGAAGCAAATTGTATTTTTAAGTCAAAGGATTGGAATGCCAAATATACTTATGTATGAAATATCCTGCATCTAAAAGGGCCGCCCCGTTCACCCTCTACATAAATGCGAAGTAGAAAAGTGTTATGCTTTACTGAAACATAACAAAAGTTCACTTTGTCAAATTTTAGTAATGACATTGATTTTTGTGAATTTGCCATGTAATGCACCAGTTAAATTAATAAATCTAGTGATCGAGACAATGTGAGTGGGCTAAGAGAATAACTTGATGCGTAGTTACAAGTGATCTGGCAAATTATTAGTATAATTTGAACTGTCATTTTTTTTTTTACATGCAAGACCTCAATTAACTATTATCAGACTCTATAACTTAAATAACTTCCTAACTAAACAAGAATATCCAAAAACGAAGCTGATCTTCTTAGGACTAATTAAAAATGATGAATGGTACCAAAGCCAAAATAATTAAACAAACAGAATATTACTATGATACTATGATACTTTGAACAACTTCTTGTACCTAATCCAGCCAAACTAATATTAAATGACTTTGGAAGGGTAGCTTCTGCAGTCAGCATTGAGGTCTTGAAGACAGGAATTTCATCAGGAATTATTAATTCTTGAATGTTTTGAGGTAGGCTGACTGTGTTACTTGACAGCTTTCTGTAAGGTATGCTTCATGAAATCTCCATGCCTTTATACATCCAATTGAATGCTTCAGACTGATTCCAAATTTTGTGTGATTTAAGGGGCCACCTACCGATCGTGGCTGCTCTTGGATCCCGTTCAGTCCTTTTAGTTTTAACTTGTGCATTTGTATGTTGCTGGTATTTACTTTATGGGTAGTGGAATTCCATTTTCCACAAAGATTATTTGAATATTACCTGCAAAGTCATTCTACCTCTTCCCAACTCTATTGTCTACACACACATACACATGCACCTCAACCCCACTGCCACTAGACTATTAATCCAGAGACCCAGGTAATGTTCTGGGGTCCCAGTTTGAATCCCACCATGGCAGAAGGTGTAAATTTGAATTCAATTTTTAAAGAAATATGGAATTAAGAATCTACTGATGAACATGAAACTATTGTCAATTGTCAGGCAAAACCCATCTTGTTCACCAATCTCCTCTGAGGAAGGAAATCTGCCATCCTCACGTGGTCTGGCCTACATGTGACTCCAGACCCACAGCAATATGTTTGACTCTCAATTGCCCTCTGAAAGTCTCAAAGAAATGAATTTGGACAGATCACCTAGCATTGACCTACATACCAGAAAACACAATGGTAGAAACAGCCCTGTCAACTCTGCACAGTCTTCCTCACTAACATCCAGGGGCTAGTGCTAAAATTGGGAGACCTGTCTTACATACTAGTCAAGCAACAGCCTAACATAGTCATACTCACAGGATCATAGCTTACAGGCAATGTCCCAGACACCACCACCACCACCATCCCTGGATATGCCCTGTCGTACCGGCAGGACAGACCCAGCAGAGGTGGTGGCACAATGGTATACAGTCGGGACAGAGTTGTTCTAGGGGTCCTCAACATAATGACTCTGGAACTGATGAATTCTCATGGTTTCATCATGAGACTAAAAATGGGCAAGCAAACCTCCTGCTGATTACCCCGTACTGACCTCACTCAGCTGATGAATCAGTACTCCTCTATGTTGAACAACATTTAGAGGAAGTACTGAGAATTGCAAGAGCAGAAAATGTACTCTGGGTGGGGCATTTCAATGTCCACAACCAAGAGTGGCTTGGCAGTAGTACTACTGATTGAGCTGATCAGGTCCTAAAAGATGTAGCTGCAAAACTGGATCTGCGGCAGGTGATGAGGGAACCAACAAAAGGGAAAAACATACTTGACCTCATCCTTACCAATCTGCCAGCTGCAGATGCATCTGTCCATGGCAGTATCGGTAAGAGTGACCAATGCACAGTCCTTGTGGAGACGAGTTCCCACCTTCACACTGAGAATAACTTCCACTATCACCATGCTAAATGGGACAGACTTCGCACAGAACTAACAACTCAAGATTGGGCATCCATGAGGCGCTGTGGGCCATCAGCAGAAATGTACTCTAGCACAATCTTTAGCCTCATGGCCCGGCATATCCCCCACTCAGCCATTACCATCAAGCTAGGGGATCAACCCTGGCTCAATGGAGAGTGCAGGAGGGCATGCCAGGAGCAATATTAGGCATACCTGAAAATGAGTTGTCAACCTAGTGAAGCCACCAAACAGGTTTACTTGCATGCTGAACAGCATAAGCTGCAAGTGATAGACAGAGCTAAGCGATCCCACAACCAACTGATCAGATCTAATCTATGCACTCCTGCTACATCCAGTCATGGGCAATTAAACAACTCACAGGAGGAGGTGGCTCCACAAATATCCCCATCCTCAATGATGGGGAAGCCCAACCCATCAGTGCAAAAGATAAGACTGAAGCTTTCACAGCAACCTTCAGCCAGAATTGCTGAGTGGATGATTTATCTCGGCAGCCTCCTGTCGTCCTCAGCATTACAATACCGCTCATCAGCCAATTTGATTCATTCCACATGATATCAAGAAACATTTGGAGGCAGTGGATGCTAAAAAGGCTATGGGCCCTGACAACATTCCAGCAATAATACTGAAGACTTGTGCTCCCCGAGCCAAGCTGTTCCAGTACAGTCCCAACACTGTCAGATAGATGCCAATGTGGAAAGTTGCCCAAGTATAACCTGTACCTAAAAAGCAGGACAAATGCAACCTGGCTAGTTACCAACCTATCAGTCTGCTGTTGATCATCAGTAAGGTGATGGAAGGTGTCATCAACAGTGCTATTAAGGAGCCCTAGCAAAACTGGAATCATTAGTATCATGAGGCAAACTCACTGGTGGTTAGAGTCATGTCTCACACAAAGGAAGATGGTTATGGTTGTTGGACGCCAGTCATCTCAGCTCTAGAACGTCTTTGCAGGAGTTCTTCAGAGTAGTGTCCTTGGCCCAATCATCTTCAGCTGCTTCATCGATGACCTTCTCTCCATTATAAGGTCAGAAGTGGGGATGTTTGCTGATGATCGCACAATGTTCAGCACCATTCGCGACTTCTCCAATACTGAAGCAATCCGTGTCCAAGATCTGGACTGACGAATGGCAAGTAACATTCGCGCCACACAAATGTGAGACTGTGACCATTACCAGTAAGCGACAATCTAACCACTGCCCCATTGCATTCAGCAATGTTTCCATCAATGAATCTCCCACTATCACCATCCTGGGAGTTATCATTGATCAGAAACTCAACTTGACTCATCACATAAATGCAGTGGCTACAAGAGCAGGTCAGAGGCTAGGAATACTACAGCAAATAACTCACCTGACTCCCCTAAGCCTGTCCACCATGTACAAGGCACAAGTCAGGTTTGTGATGGGTGCTCTCCACTTGCCTGGATGAGTGCAGCCTCAACAACACTCGAGAAGCTTCACACCATCCAGGACAAAGCAGCCTGTTTGATTTGCACAACATCCACAAGCGTTCACTCCCTTCCCCACCACTGGTCTGTA